ACATGGTATTGTGAGTGCGTGTGTGGACATTCACGCTCCAGGGGCCAGATTCACGAAAGCACTTACGAACCTATACATCTTTTCTCAATCTTTGGCGGCTTTGTTTGCAATTATTAAACAGTTAATGAGCTCCGAAGCACCAGGAGGCTGTTTATAACAATAACAACAGTTGATTGGCAAGTTTTCATGCTTGTAAACTGTTTAATAAATGTAACCAAAGCCGTCAAAGATTGAGGAAAGCTGTACATGTTCGTAAGTGCTTGCGTAAGTGCTTTCATGAATCTAGCCCCAGGGCCTCTGCAGCCTTGCGCTTCTGACGACAATGGAGCCATTTCATTACCATCACCGCTGTAGGCTGCTGATTAAATGTGGGTCCATATTGGTTAAAAGGTATGGAGAGTTTATTAAAGGTTGGTACTCTATATGTAAATCTAGAGGTATGCCCCGATTCTCAGAGTGTATATATATTATCAGTTTACCTTAATATTTGTTGGTGGTTAGTTAGCTAATGTGGAGGCCCTCAATGGCCCTCCCGTGGTTGATTGGTCTTAAACTCAGCACCAATACAGCTGGTATAATGATGATGTTTGTAAACATACTGCAGACACCTCGTAAATCACCTTGAGAAGACAGCTGCTAGAAGGTTATCTTGAGGTTATCTTGAGATGATTTCGGGGCTTTTTTAGTGTCCCCGCGGCCCGGTCCTTGACCAGGCCTCCACCCCCAGGAAGCAGCCCGTGACAGCTGACTAACACCCAGGTACCTAATTTACTGCTAGGTAACAGGGGCATAGGGTGAAAGAAACTCTGCCCATTGTTTCTCGCCGGCGCCTGGGATTGAACCCAGGACCACAGGATCACAAGCCCGCGTGCTGTCCGCTCGGCCGAATGGCTCCGGTTCCAGAAGCAGTAATCCGATGCACGCTATTATTAGATATTAGTGATTACTACTGAATCAGATATTAATGATTTTTATTGCTTTGAGCTGTAAGCAAGATCTCATGAATGTGTTGCCACTCTCATCTACACTGTCAGTCTATTTGATGATAGAGACATGTCAGTGTCCCGCTAGTGTTCCCTGGAACATCATCCACTAATTGGTTAACAACCTGGTTCCCATTTACTGCTGGGTGAATAGAGGCGAGCAGTAAAGTATTGGTAATACCTAAACAATCCACCTTGGTCAGGACCCGAACTTGACACACCGGTCCACAAGTGATGTATCTAGGTGTTTCCTGTGTGTCTTGTGTGGACGTGACAAGGATTTCTATATTACGTTCCCGTGATTTATGCACTTATTATATTTATGAGTGGCGTATATTAATATACTCTGTTGTTAATTGTAAAGTTGACCATCCTCAAGAGGAAAAGATATATGTAACTAACTTAGTCTGGCGCACACTCACACACACACACACACACACACACACACACACACACACACACACACACACACACACACACACACACACACACACACACAACTTGATACCTGGTAGAACTTTGAGTACTTTTTGAACTTTGAGTACCTGGTAGAGCTAGGACTTATCTCCCCCCAAAAAGAACTAGGAATCAAAAGGCTGGCATACCGAAAGGGGAATTATGAACAGATGAGAAGTTTCCTAAGTGAAATACCTTGGGACACAGACCTCAGAGACAAGTCTGTACAGGGTATGATGGACTATGTTACCCAAAAGTGTCAGGAGGCAGTAAACAGGTTCATCCCGGCCCAAAGGGAAAAATCCGAGAAGCAACAGAAGAATCCATGGTATAATAGGGCATGTATGGAAGCGAAGAAACTGAACAAAAAGGCGTGGAGGAACTTCCGGAATAACAGAACACCAGAAAGCAGAGAGAGATACCAGAGAACCAGGAATGAGTACGTCAGGGTGAGAAGAGAAGCAGAGAAAAATTTTGAAAATGATATAGCAAACAAAGCCAAGACCGAACCAAAGCTACTCCACAGTCACATCAGAAGGAAAACAACAGTGAAAGAACAGGTATTGAAACTTAGAACAGGCGAGGACAGGTATACAGAGAATGACAGAGAGGTGTGTGAGGAACTCAACAAGAGGTTCCAGGAGGTCTTCACAATAGAACAGGGTGAGGTCACTGTGCTAGGAGAAAGGGAGGTAAACCAGGCGGCCTTGGAGGAGTTCGAAATTACGAGAGAGGAGGTCAAGAGACACCTGCTGGATCTGGATGTTAGAAAGGCTGTTGGTCCAGATGGGATCTCACCATGGGTACTGAAAGAGTGTGCAGAGGCACTTTGCCTGCCACTCTCCATAGTGTATAGTAAGTCACTAGAGACGGGAGACCTACCAGAAATATGGAAGACGGCGAATGTGGTCCCAATATACAAAAAGGGCGACAGACAAGAGGCACTGAACTACAGGCCAGTGTCCTTGACTTGTATACCATGCAAGGTGATGGAGAAGATCGTGAGAAAAAACCTGGTAACACATCTGGAGAGAAGGGACTTCGTGACAAATCGCCAACATGGATTCAGGGAGGGTAAATCTTGCCTTACAGGCTTGATAGAATTCTACGATCAGGTGACACAGATTAAGCAAGAAAGAGAGGGCTGGGCGGACTGCATTTTCTTGGATTGTCGGAAAGCCTTTGACACAGTACCGCATAAGAGGCTGGTACATAAGCTGGAGAGACAGGCAGGTGTAGCTGGTAAGGTGCTCCAGTGGATAAGGGAGTATCTAAGCAATAGGAAGCAGAGAGTTACGGTGAGGGGTGAGACCTCCGATTGGCGTGAAGTCACCAGTGGAGTCCCACAGGGCTCTGTACTCGGTCCTATCTTGTTTCTGATATATGTAAATGATCTCCCGGAGGGTATCGATTCATTTCTCTCAATGTTTGCGGACGATGCTAAAATTATGAGAAGGATTAAAACAGAAGAGGACTGTTTGAGGCTTCAAGAAGACCTAGACAAGCTGAAGGAATGGTCGAACAAATGGTTGTTAGAGTTTAACCCAACCAAATGTAATGTAATGAAGATAGGTGTAGGGAGCAGGAGGCCAGATACAAGGTATCATCTGGGAGAGGAAATTCTTCAGGAGTCAGAGAAGGAAAAAGACTTGGGGGTTGATATCACGCCAGACCTGTCTCCTGCAGCACATACCAAGCGGATAACATCAGCGGCATATGCCAGGCTGGCCAACATACGAACGGCATTCAGAAACTTGTGTAAAGAATCATTCAGAACTTTGTATACCACATATGTCAGGCCAATCCTGGAGTATGCAGCCCCAGCATGGAGTCCATATCTAGTCAAGGATAAGACTAAACTGGAAAAGGTTCAAAGGTTTGCCACCAGACTAGTACCCGAGCTGAGAGGTATGAGCTACGAGGAGAGACTACGGGAATTAAACCTCACTTCGCTGGAAGACAGAAGAGTTAGGGGGGACATGATCACCACATTCAAGATTCTGAAGGGGATTGATAGGATAGATAAAGACAGTCTATTTAACACAAGGGGAACACGCACAAGGGGACACAGGTGGAAACTGAGTGCCCAAATGAGCCACAGAGATATTAGAAAGAACTTTTTTAGTGTCAGAGTGGTTGACAAATGGAATGCATTAGGAAGTGATGTGGTGGAGGCTGACTCCATACACAGTTTCAAGTGTAGATATGACAGAGCCCGATAGGCTCATGAATCTGTACACCTGTTGATTGACGGTTGAGAGGCGGGACCAAAGAGCCAGAGCTCAACCCCCGCAAACACAACTAGGTGAGTACAACTAGGTGAGTACACACACACACACACGCTAAGCAAAAGTGGAGGCCACACAAAGAATGACAAGGAAGTGTGCGAAGAACTCTGTACAAGTTTCGGGAAGTTTTTAAGATAGGTCCAAATCTGTCCCAGATCTACTACCTCTAATGAAAGCGGCCCTACCAGAAGAAAGGCTGGACGGCAGAGCGACGGTCTCGCTTCATGCAGGTCGGCGTTCAATCCCCGACCGTCCACAAGGTGTTGGGGACCATTCCTTTCCCCTCGTCCCATCTCAAATCCTCATCCTTACCCCTTCCAAGTGCTATATACTACTATACTTCTCCTGACAGTTCACAACACCGCTCCTGTGCCAGGTAAGTTACGGGCTCGTAGCACGGGCTATCAGGTTGTTCCAAGTAACAACCTGATAGTTCCCCTTCCCTACCAGAAGAGAGAAGGATGATTGTCTTGCAGGACCGCACGTCTCTCACCACCCAGGTAACGATGCCTGACCACACGCACACGCACACACTGCCAATACTAATGAGCGCCACCAGTCATTAATGTATATCAACGCAGAAGGTCTCGCAGATATGACACATGACACAGGAGATATTCTGCTCCATCGCAGCAGAAAATATAGACCATGAACAGGAGTGATAAGGATGACACGCACACACACACACACACACACACACACACACACACACACACACACACACACACACACACACACACACACACACACACATTGACGTTGATTGACGGTTGAGAGGCGGGACCAAAGAGCCAGAGCTCAACCCCCGCAAGCACAATTAGGTGAGTACACACACACACACACACACACACACACACACACACACACACACACACACACACACACACACACACACACACACACACACGCGCGCGCGCGCGAGGAGACACAGGCAAGTTGAGGTAGCTCAATAATGAGACAAACGGAAGTATGGAAGCATTAGGAGAGAGGCGCAGAAATAGGAACAACAAATAAACAGGAAATAAGAACTTGAACGACATAACACAGGAATAACAAGGCGGTAATGAACAACTGTTGACCAGAACACACACTAGAAAGTGAAGGGACGACGACGTTTCTGTCCGTCCTGGACCAATCTCAAGTCGATTGTGATCCCTTCACTTTCTAGTGTGTGGTCTGGTCAACATACTTCAGCCACGTTATTGTGACTCCTCGCCTGTAACAACAACAACCTGGTTGCCCTCACCGTTACGCCCCAGTGTGCGTTACTGACCTCGGGGGCAAGTGTAGAGAAGCAGATTATAGTGACCTCGACGGTAGTTGACCCTATTCGACTGACGATGACCCCCGACGGTAATTAACCCCACTCAGCTAATGATGATGCTGACCCCCAACGGTAGCTGACCCAACTCGGCAGAGTATTGTGACCTCTGACATTAGTTGACTCCACTTAGCTGGTGTTAGTGACCCCCCGACGGCAGTTGACCCAGCAAGGGAAGCAGCAAGACTGGAGCGGTACTCCCCACGGCTCCGACGCTAGTGAGGGCCAGGTATCGGGCGCCCTCTGGGTACTGAGATTAGGCTACAATACGCAGAACCTCCCCTCTCCAAAGGCCGCGTCCCAATTGTTCGGTTTTCCTCGACAGTTCTGTGAATAGAGAGTATTTTTTCCCCGTCCACCTGAAAACGTGAGCTAAATTTGATTACCTTATCTGCCTCAGAAAGGATGTCCATTGATGAACCGTTTTAATTGTTTGTGTAACGAAATACAGGAAACACTATAGGGGTCGTGGCTGAACGGACAGCGCTTGGGACTCGTAATCTCAGGGGTCAGGGTTCAATCCCGACGGCTGGTGGAAACAAATGGGCTGAGTTTCTTTGGGCTTGATGCCCCTGTTACCTAGCAGTAAATAGGTACCTGGGAGTTAGACAGCTGCTACGGGCTGCTTCCTGTGTGTGTGTGTGTGTGTGTGTGTGTGTGTGTGTGTGTGTGTGTGTGTGTGTGTGTGTGTGTGTGTGTGTTGGTGTGGAAAAAAATAGTAGTTAGTAACAGTTGATTAAGTGACAGTTGAGAGGCGGGCCGAAAGAGCCAGAGCTCAACCCCCGCTAGCACAACTAGGTGAATACACAGTCGGTGTCCTAACCTAACCAAGCAGGCAGCCAGTACTGGCCAAGTTACCCACACGCATCAAGGTAAGACTTCCAAGAAAGGAAGACTTGGACTACAGAAAGGGTTCCGGCTATATCTATCTTATCTCTCTCATAGGAATATGTAACTTTCTCTGTGTACTCACCTAGTTGTGATCGCCGGGGTTGAGCTTCGGCTCTTTCGGGACGAAAGAGACGGAATATTATATATATATATATATATATATATATATATATATATATATATATATATATATATATATATATATATATATATATATATATATATATATGTGTGTGTATCACGAAAATAAACACGTGATTAAGAATGTGACAATGTCAGACCACGGAGGAAAATGAAACAGGAATTTCCTTAAGTACTTTCGTATATTAAATACATCTTCAGAAGGAATCTTCCTTCTGAAGATGTATTTAATATACGAAAGTACTTAAGGAAATTCCTGTTTCATTTTCCTCCGTGGTCTGACATTGTGATATATATATATATATATATATATATATATATATATATATATAGAGAGAGAGAGAGAGAGAGAGAGAGAGAGAGAGAGAGAGAGAGAGAGAGAGAGAGAGAGAGAGAGAGAGAGAGAGAGAGAGAGAGAGAGAGAGAGAGAGAACTGATCTGATCACAAACAAAATAGTGTTTAATGAAAAAGATTAAAGCAGGCAAGACTAAAGACAGGGATGCCACACGGGCCAGACTTGGGACCGGTTCAAGTCCCGATTTACATAAATAATAACAACGGGTTATGACTGCAGAATAACAATTCACTGATGACAGTTTAGCTGGGAACACTTGCGGAAGCCGTGAGCGAGAGAGAGAGAGAGAGAGACTGTAGGCCTACCAACACACCACTAAATACGACACACACAGTAACTTGACTACTGAATGTCATACGAGCTTCTGTGTCGAGAGACCACCAGAAACACATTGGGAGCGTTTGGTTGTTCTTGAGGATCCGATCTGGCAATGCTAATAAATAAAAAAAATATATTGTCAAGAGTACAGTATACTTTGGTATAGCCAATAAGGCAGGCAGTACATTCTGGTATAGCCAAGAAGGTAGGCAGTATACTCTGATATAGCCAAGATGGCAGTATGCTCTGATATAGCCAAGATGGCAGTATGCTCTGATATAGCCAAGATGGCAAGCAGTATACTCAGATATAACCATCTGGTAATTAGGTTACCAATGATGGTAAAATCATTAACAAGCTGTTTCAGTCCAACGAAGTTAATGCTGCTTGTGGGGAGTAGTAAACACAAGGAACTGAGGACACATTAACATTAATACTGTTTGAGTTGAATGAAAGATTGGCCAGATGTTTTCTTTCAAATCCGCTAGATAGTTTAACGCCGGCACGGGAATTCCCGTAAATTCCTGTGTTGTAAATCTTGCAGCTTCAGTTCCACCCACACGAGGCTCCTGGATCAGCCTTGACGACTAACGGACGCCTGGACACTTGCTCCTGGCAACACGTGATGCGAATTTGACCAATGGGTCGCGATACTTCCGTCTGACATGCCTCTTCAAGGGTTGATACGACGCCTGACGCCACTGCTGCCTGCGGGTCACAGGGAAGTTTCACTCTGGCCGGGAATTCGGTAGCCGACACCGGCTTGGCCGAGAGGTGCCGGATGTTTGGGGCGCTTCTGGTGTGCTCCGGGGTGTGGTGGAGCTGGCTCCTGTTCTGCCGGAGGTCACTGCACCACGTTTTTGCCCGACAAAGTTTAAAATGGACCATCGCCACTCTGCCCTTTCGTCGCGACATTGTTCGACTACCCAGAGTTCACAGGACGCCTGACGCCTTGATGTCTGGAGTCACTGGGAGTCGAGAGTCTTCCTGCTGGCTGTGTGTGTGTGTGTGTGACTGGGTCCAGCACTCGCCTCCCTGGGCGTAATTCCCTACATAGGCCCACCGGGCATATCCGATGGGCCTGGAGCATGGAGTCTACCTTCACCACTTAACTCTCAAGTTCATTTAACTTACTACCATGACAGAATGTTTCCCCAGTGGTGTAGGACACAGGAGGATGACATTCACAGTAACGGAATGAGGGTGGTTGTGAGGGGTCGCCTTGGTCAACGAACCTCACAGGAAAGACAACATTCACCTGACCACTAGTGAGTATGCCACTGAGGAGTGACCCCTTGCACCCCGGCCACTACTGAGTGACGTGACTCACCCGACCAAGTGGATTGCTGTATGTCGATGTGTGCAAGTGGCGCCAGGTTAATGGGGATGGAAGACGAAGGTGCTGTGCTGACTGCAATGCTGAAGGTGGACGAACACGGGTTGTGACAGTGCTGAAGGTGGACGAACACGGGTTGTGACAGTGCTGAAGGTGGACGAACACGGGTTGTGACAGTGCTGAAGGTGGACGAACACGGGTTGTAGCAGTGCTGAAGGTGGACGAACACGGGTTGTGACAGTGCTGAAGGTGGACGAACACGGGTTGTAACAGTGCTGAAGGTGGACGAACACGGGTTGTGACAGTGCTGAAGGTGGACGAACACGGGTTGTGACAGTGCTGAAGGTGGACGAACACGGGTTGTGACAGTGCTGAAGGTGGACGAACACGGGTTGTAGCAGTGCTGAAGGTGGACGAACACGGGTTGTGACAGTGCTGAAGGTGGACGAACACGGGTTGTAACAGTGCTGCAGGTGGACGAACACGGGTTGTGACAGTGCTGAAGGTGGACGAACACGGGTTGTAGCAGTGCTGAAGGTGGACGAACACGGGTTGTGACAGTGCTGAAGGTGGACGAACACGGGTTGTAGCAGTGCTGAAGGTGGACGAACACGGGTTGTGACAGTGCTGAAGGTGGACGAACACGGGTTGTGACAGTGCTGAAGGTGGACGAACACGGGTTGTGACAGTGCTGAAGGTGGACGAACACGGGTTGTGACAGTGCTGAAGGTGGACGAACACGGGTTGTGACAGTGCTGAAGGTGGACGAACACGGGTTGTGACAGTGCTGAAGGTGGACGAACACGGGTTGTAGCAGTGCTGAAGGTGGACGAACACGGGTTGTGACAGTGCTGAAGGTGGACGAACACGGGTTGTAGCAGTGCTGAAGGTGGACGAACACGGGTTGTGACAGTGCTGAAGGTGGACGAACACGGGTTGTAGCAGTGCTGAAGGTGGACGAACACGGGTTGTGACAGTGCTGAAGGTGGACGAACACGGGTTGTGACAGTGCTGAAGGTGGACGAACACGGGTTGTGACAGTGCTGAAGGTGGACGAACACGGGTTGTGACAGTGCTGAAGGTGGACGAACACGGGTTGTGACAGTGCTGAAGGTGGACGAACACGGGTTGTGACAGTGCTGAAGGTGGACGAACACGGGTTGTGACAGTGCTGAAGGTGGACGAACACGGGTTGTGACAGTGCTGAAGGTGGACGAACACGGGTTGTGACAGTGCTGAAGGTGGACGAACACGGGTTGTGACATTGCTGAAGGTGGTCGTCGGAACAGTATCCAGATGAAATGACTTTCTGGAACTTAATCCGGACAAATGCAAAGTTATGATGATAATCACAGTCAGTTGTAGCCCAGGAGCTGGGCTCAGCCTGAGGGGGGAGATCACTTACTACATCTTGGAGCAAGAAACACCTGTACATTAATTTAACTTTTTATTTAATTAATTTAAAAAGGAAGAATTTGGATTCTGCAAGATATGCAAGACTTCTCCTGGAGTACTTGAGTATTCTCAGTTTACAACATACGTAAGACTACTGCTGACGTGTGCAAGACCTGTCAGTGTTGCACACTGATAACTGCCGTTGTCAACGGGAGTCGCTGACAACGACCCGTTAACGACCCGTCCTCTCTTGGCGGGTCTTGGTTGGCTCCTGGTATGCCCTGGCGGCCTGGTGCCCTGCTGGAGGTCACTGGTAGATGTTTCGTCATTTTTTCCAATTGGGATTGAGTTTAAGATGGACCATCGCGATCCTGGCGACTGGACCACGATGTTGATAGTCTACTCAGGGTTCACAGCACCCGCGACGCCTTCGTCTGGGGTCACTAGGTGTCTATAATCTGTCTGTCTGTGGAGTTGCAGCACGTCTTCTCCAGCATTCACCTCACTCAACTAAATTACCCGAACATAACCCAAAAGATGACCTAAGAATAAGCAAACGGGACATCTCGTCAAATTTCGTGAGCTGCCATGATATTTAGTACATTAGTTTATGGCCTGAGGGAGATTTATACGTGAAAATATGTTGTAGTGTTGGTGAGGACGGGCTTCAACACTTGTGCAGGCGAGGAGTCACAATAACGTGGCTAAAGTAATTTGACCAGACCACACACTAGAAGGTGAAGGGACGACGACGTTTCGGTCC